ATGTTTATTTAAAAAATTAAATCATTCCAAATAGTTTTGACTTGTGAAATTTATTGAGATTCAAGTACCGTGAATAAAATAGAGATTATACAATTCTGGGCTTCTAATAGAAACAATCACGGTTACAGTATAAGCCATTATGTTTTGTTTTTTTTATTGTATTAAATTTCTATAAAAAGATAAAATGTAAAAACCAACCAAGCAAAAAAATACTAAGGAAAAAGATAAGGGAAGAGAAGGTGCAAAGGAATAAAAAGGTGAGAAAAAATAGCTTCTTTCTTCAGTAGTTACAGATATAAAATGCATCAACCTTTTGTTTTAAATTTCAAACTCAGTATTCATACAATCATGAATATTTCTAATCATCAAATCCTAAAATTAAATATTTTAGTTTGTAGCAAAAAGTCCAAAATGATTTCCATGTAAAAACAAACAACTCTTTTCTTTAATCAAAGTAGTACTTTCACCATCTCAGCCAGTTCCTACAATTATGCCAAATGCAGTTGGTATTGAGTATTTGCGCTATAAGCACTGATGTGAGTTGCGATTAGATCACAAATTAAGTCTCATGATTTCAACATTTTTAAAAAAACTACTCAAACAAGGAGACTTTTAACAAGGGTGTTCAAAGCTTCTGTTAGAAGCAGCTTCGCTCCTAAAAAAACTGCAGGTTTAGTATTCAATTATTAAACTCTTGGCATAGTAGGAAGCTGAGACAGTCTCCATCAGAGGCCTCCAAACTTGGCAAATTTAATTTAAGCATAGCTGGCTGGGAAATTCTGGGAGTTGAAGTCCACAAGTCTTAAAAGGTGCCAAGTTTGGGGACCCCTGGTCCACATCTTCAAGACTCTCATATAAAATCCGCTTTATCTATCTCAAAATAGGCAGTTTTCATTCCTTTGGGAATATAGGTCACTCGATCCACTTCACCTCCTCCATTGCTGGGTTTCTGGAAGTGAATTTCAATCATGTCTTCCACATTCTCATCTTTCTGTTCTGCAACGATTCCTATTAATAGTACAGCTTTCCTGGAAGTCCCTGAAAACATCTGGCACAAAAAAGAAGCATATACCATATGTTACTTCGATAGTCTTCCTTGGAGAAAGCTAATATTGAAAGAAACCATCACTAAGAGATAATTACACCCTTTCATTTTTCTACTGATTACAAAATATAAATGCACTGTTCAAGAACCAACAAAATGTGAGACCTGGATAAGGCAGCTGCACCTCACATGCCCTTTCTAAAATAGCCATGTATTATTACAGGATCACAGCAGGGTGAAGGCTGGGAAATGAACCATTTGCTCCCCTGCTGTGATCCTAATGAAACAAAATTGGCAAGGAATCGCCATCCAGGTCATAGCACATTTTCCCTTTTCAGTCTAATGTGATCATCAGTATATTTCTTCTCGATACAACTTTATCCTGACCCAAATAAAGCAGCGGCAAACACTCAAGCTATGTTTGCAAATAAACATAGTTTTTGTTATTCAATCACTAAGTCGTGTCCAACTGTTTGAGACCTCGTGGACCATGACATGCCAGTTCCTCCTCCCCCATCCTCTACTGTCTCCCAGAGACTGTCCAAATTCATGTTTATTGTATCAATGGTCCTAACCACCTCATCCTCTGCAGTCCCCTTCTCCTTTTGCCTTCATTTTTTCCCAACATCAGGGCCTTTTCCAAGGAATCCTCTTTTCTCATTTGAGCTTCAGCTTCATATCTATCCTTCCAAAGAACAGCCAGAGTTGATTTCCTTTAAGATTGACTGACTTTTACCTCCTTGCAGTCTAAGAGACTCTCAAGAGTCATCTCCAACATCACAATTTGAAAGCAATAAACTCTAATTCTTACTTCCCATTGGGTGGATGCCACTGACCCTGTTACAGTTTGATAGTGTCAGCACCTCACACGATTACGTTGCTCATGTCTGAAAACCTGATCTTGTAATCTATGACAAACCCTGGGTACAACTCCCATTTCCAGAATCGCAAAATGATGGCCTTTTTTTTTTTCTTTGTTTAGGAAGTACAATGCCTTGTTAAAAGCAGTGTGTGGCAGAAAGTACAATGGGACAGTCAGATATTAATATTTATTTTAATTCAATGTGTAACACATACCAAATCTTTGCTAAATGGAAGAAAATCAAGACCCAATCATTATCAAACCACCATAAGTGCTTGATAGTATTGGGCCAACCATATCTGTAGTGTAAAACTTGAGAAGATCAGTAGGTGGCAGCAAAGAGGTTTTACATTGCTTAAAAGAGGTTTACATTATTTAAAGCCCATCTAGTGAATTACCAGATTTTTACAGTATATGGTTGATACTATGAGGTAAGCAGATTCAACTTCATTCTACATACATTTAATATGAAGAACTTCGTTCTGTTGTTTACCCATAGAACACATTTGCCAGCGGCTGGAAATCCAATGGATAAGTTATTTGGAAAGTAGGGGAGTAACAGTTTAACTATTACAAAAGCTATAAACCTTATTCCAAAGGAAGTCCCTGTCAACTCAATGACTCATATTGACTGCCATTTTTAACTGTAATGTATCATGCAGCATCAACCCAGCCACTAGTCTGGAAAGCGTGGATTAGATTTCTCCATCACTGCACATCAGAGCATGTAACCATCTATTGTATTGGGATAGTTGCATGTATGTTGCAGCTGTATTTCTGCAAATGTTTATGTTATGGCTAAGGAGCTCTCAAAACAGCAAAGCACAGAACAGGAAATCAGTTCAAGCAATCAGCACACAGGATGTGCACCTCCGCACAACTGGGATTTGGGAGATGTGCACATCAGCCTGTCTGCAATCATCCTAAACCTACACTTACCCATCAACCACTTCACAGTGTAGTTATGGCAATGCCTACGTCCAGTTGTGAGCGACTCTAAATCAAGCTTAAAATCAATAATACAATGTGATATATGTCTGCTTTATTGTTGCTTATTCAGTAGCCCACAGCTACACAGAGCCTCGGTGGCGCAGTGGTTAGAGTGCAGTACTGCAAACTACTCCCACTGCAATTTGGCAGATCGAATCCCACCAGGCTCAAGGTTGACTCAGCCTTCCATTCTTCCGAGGTGGATAAAATGAGGATCCAAATTGTTGGGGGCAATATGCTGACTCTGTAACACCGCTTTGAGAGGGCTGTAGAGCTCTATAAAGCGATATATAAGTTTGTGCTATTGCTATTATTGCAACAGGTTCATTCAGCTGCTGAATTGCCTGCCATGCTTGATTATTCTGTTACTTACCTGAACTTTTTCCACATTGCTTTTTTTGAGGGGTGAAACACTGAGAAAATGAGTCCTTCCAAACACATTGATACTGTATTGTCCATAACTTATTATTTTATTAAGAGCTAGAATAAAAAAAAATTAGAAATGAATTATATGAAGAGGTCCACATCTGAAAATGGCTGGTTAAAATTTAAATAAATTAAACCCTAAACATTAGAGTTCCTCATATATTTTAAATAGTATACTTATTTAGGAGACTATGGGACATAAAGGTATTTATTTCAATATAAGCCACCAATGGACCAGACTATAAGGCAAATATAGTAATAAAATATTCATCACAAGCCTAGTAATAGTGTAGTGCAATTCTAGACAGATCTACCTGTAACTCACAAAAGTCCAGTGGAATTTAATCCAAAGTAAACAAGATGAAATGTAACATTAACAGAAAAATCTTGTGTAGCACCTGGTACCTCCAGATAAAACAGGTTATGTTTTTCTTCATTCATTAGCCAGATGGCAACAGCTGTGGCAGTGTGTTTTCTAAAACATCTGGAAAAATCCAGTTGTAGAAGGCTACTTTGCATTCTAGTGAAGAAAATGGCATAGTGTAGATATTGAAATGCCAATAGAAGAGAATGTATATAGCTCAGGGATGAACAGAGTAAAATATTTTCACATCCACAGACCTGCTTACAAAATGAGCAATACTTGTTGGTGACAACTAGTAAGACTGGAAATGCTGTAATAATGGCCTGGCTAGATGCAAGTGAAATATTTGAGACAGAATGATGGGGGATAGTGTACATAGTTTAAAAATAGGGTGATCCTCAGGGACTCCATTCTTCCCAGTCAGCTTTAAAAGTCATCCTACATAGTGATCCATGTGCTTGCTAGCATAAAACCACATTGGACTTGGGACAAGGTTTAAGCAACTAGTTTCTTCTAAGATAAGGCTGGGTAATTAATTTCCCCAAGAGGCCACATGATAAACTGGGACTGCTGTGGAGGGCCAAACCAATAGGGCTGTAAAGGTCCATAGGCATGCACGTATGCACGTACATCAATTGAAAAACAAATAGCAGTCATCTTCAAAATAAAAGCAACACAGTTGTATTGCATGCATGGCATCATCACCATCATTTTATCCATTGTCTATTCACTGCAGGATGCGGGTCTCTTTTGCCTGCTTCTAACCAATATGGTCCTGAGCTTTCTTTTGCCAGTTGGGCCTGCAATGCTTGCTGTTGTCATCGATCCATATTTTTAAGCCAAATGGTTCTCCTGCTTTGTATAGCTCTTGTATGTGAAATTGTAGCTCTTCTGGCATACTTATTTATATATTTCACTTCTAATTTCTGATTGACCTTACGTGGGCCAGACAGTCACAGCCACAGGGATGGGTGTGGCCTCTGTTCTAAGACTATGTGCTTAAAGTCAAGTGAGCAAGGCTGATTACAGACCATAACCTAAAAATAAACCGGCAGAATAATTCAAAAATTACCTATAGGCTGACAAAAGGTAACAATGGCCTCTTGTAGGGATGGATCATATAATATTGACTGAATTTCACCCAGTTTCACTTTGTAGAAAAGGAGCTCCAATTTCTCTCTCATCCACTCCTTAGCAATGTTTACGTTTGGGATGTTAGAAACATAAATCACCTTTTGAGAGAGCTTAACATGGATCTGGAAGAACAATACAAGCCGGTGTCAAAATTATGCACGTAAAAAAAAATTATAGGTGCAACTATTCAAAACATGTTATGATCAATTTCTAATTGGGAAGAACCTTTTCTCGTTATCTCTACTGCCTTTCCTTCCAAGGTTCTCTCTTTCCCAGAGTTCTCTGTTCATACTGGCATGAAATTTGGGAGTTATGGACAAGAGAACTGGGAAAGGCTGAACTATACAAAAGATACAGTCAGCGTTAATTTTAAAAAAATACTATAATAGTCAAGAGTTAAATTATTCCTCAAGATTTTAAGATAGAAACGTAACAGTTGCATTGAGATAGTGTGATGATTTGTACAATATACTAAGCTAAAATTGTAGTTACCCAACAAAGCATAATGCAACTATGGTTCAATGTGGTTTGTATGCCCAGTCAATACTTAGGGAAATTAGCACAATTTCCCCCCTCCAGGCTCTGTTAATACATTAGCATTAAATACACAGTGATTTATTCAACAAACCATCATTAAACCATGCATTAGTGTAATTTCCATCTACAATATTTGTTCGCCGTAACAGCTGACTTTGAAAATACTAGCAGAGCCAGACATGGTTAATACCATCAAAACTGTAGTTTAGAGTGGGAAGTCAAAAAACATGCTGAAAGAAGAATAGATAGCACCACCACCAGATGGACTCGCAACTGGCTGGCAAACCGTACTCAACGAGTAGCCCTTAATGGGTCTAAGTCTACATGGAGGGAAGTAAGCAGTGGGGTGCCACAAGGTTCCGTCGTAGGCCCAGTACTCTTCAATATCTTCATTAACGACTTAGATGAGGGAACAGAAGGGGAACTCACCAAATTTGCAGATGATACTAAGCTGGCAGGAATAGCTAACACCCAAGAAGATAGGCTCAAGATCCAGATGGATCTTGACAGACTAGGACACTAGGCTGTATCTAACAAAATGAAATTCAATGTAGAGAAAAGTAAAGTCCTACACTTAGGCAAGAAAAACCAAAAGTACACATAGAGACTGGGTGAAACCAGGCTCAATAGCAGTAACTATGAGAGGGATCTTGGAGTCTTAGTGGACAACCAGCTAAATATGAGCCAGCAGTGTGCAGCAGCAGCCCAAAAAGCCAATGCAATCCTAAGTTGCATTAACAGAGGGATACAATCAAGATCAAGGGAAATACTAATACTACTCTATAAAGCCTTAGTAAGACCACACCTAGAGTACTGCATCCAGTTTTGGTCACCACATTATAAAAAAGATGTTGAGACTCTAGAAAAAGTACAGAGAAGAGCAACCAGGATGATTAGGGGACTGGAGGCTAAAACATACAATGAACGGTTGCAGGAACTGGGCTTGGCTAGTCTAGTGAAGAGAAGGACCAGGGGAGACATGATAGCAGTCTTCCAATATTTGAGAGGCTGCCCAAAGAGAGGAAGGGGTCAAGCTATTTTCTAAAGTGCCTGTAGGCCAGACAAGGAACAATGGATGGAAACTGAACAAGGAGAGATTTAACCTGGAAATAAGGAGAAACTTTCTGACAGTGAGAACAATCAACCAATGGAACTGCTTCCCCTCAGAAGATGTGGGAGCACCATCACTTGAGACTTTCAAGAAGAGATTGGACTGCCATTTGCCAGAAATGGTGTAGGGTTTCCCACTTGGGCAGGGGGGTTGGACTAGATGACCTACAAGGTCCCTTCCAACTCTGATTATCTGTTAACTGTTAAGACAATGGGAATCAATTTCTATATTGTTGCCAAGAAGATAAATCCTTGATAAGCCCAATGAAATTTAGTCAATAAGCATGTATACTCCCTTTTTATAATAAAGACCAGAGAATGTTCATAAAACAGTATTTAAATTAGACCTACAGACAATCTTTGCCAATAAACTCTCAATCCAGTGTTTGGCCAACAGAACATAGTATTATAACAAGATATGCTCAGGAAAAAGGATGCAGTTATGTCTGTATGTATTTCTGGTTGAATTAGATGCTAACATCTGGAAAGGTACATATCTGGGGCGGGGGGGAACGAAAATTCTAAGAAAAAGCTTGTCTTCTTTCTATGTGATTTTGAAAAAGATAAAAGGAGAAAACTCTTCTGCCTAAATTTACTGTATCCCGACCTTAAGAGTCTTTATTTCTATGTAGGGCAAAGACCATTGAATTTAGGCTGTCTATGCATGGAGGTCCAGTTACCAGTAAGGAATAGTTCAGATTATTTGGATATATTTTAACATCTTTCATGATAATGCCATTACCTTAAATGCTGTTCCCATCGCCAAAGCAACAGGGTAGGCTTTCAAAGCAACCTCCTTATTTTCCAGGTTGATGACATGGTTATGTTTTCTAATCAGCTGCTGAGCAACTAAAGAACAACAGATTAACAGGTTTCCATACTGAACATTGACTAAATACTTCAATTTCACATGAGACATGTAGTCACATTAATCAACAATTGTGAGGAAGCTAAGGTTTCAACAATGATTTTTTTCAACATGGGATTTTGTTGACAATTATTGCTGCTAGTTTTGCATGGTTTCCCAACTCAAACATAATATCACCCCTACAATTAGGACACTGTAATGGTCAAAGTTTCTTGCCAAGGAAAGCAGGGTAACAGATCCCTGAAGGAAGTATTCTTGAAAAGGTTGTGTTTTTCCATTCTTGCACTGAATGCTAATAGATCCACTAACAACTCAGAATATTCATAATTCAGAAGTTGGCGCAAGGTTATTTTTATTGGCATAAAAATATGCCTCACCACAGCCAGGGTGGATAAAAGTTGATGATTTTTTTTTTCTTTTAAATTAAAAAAATCTGATTTTTTTTTATTTAAATCTGATTTTTTTATTTAAATTGGATTTTTATTTTTATCAAATTTATTTTAATAAAATGCTTTTGGAGTAAAAAAAAAATCTATCTAAAGGTAGTTTTCTATTTAATAATTTAGTTGATTCAGCATGCAATGGAGCTTAGTTATATTAGCACGAGAATGTATATTTTGCAATATTGGGACTGTCCGTGAGTCAACAGCGGGTCAGAGGAGGAGCCGCTGCGGGACAGAGATGACGGTTGCTCTTTAAAAATTATGATTTAAATCGAGTTGATTTAAATCAAGCCTTTTTACTAGTGATTTAAATCGTGATTTAAATTGACTTGATTTAAATCAAATCCACCCTGACCACAGCACTGGCTATGATACATCGTGCTATGCAATAATCTGATCTGATTTGGTTTAGTGTATAAGTTATGGCAAGGTAGTCAACAGCCACCTTTGTCCCTTTTCACTGACTAATTGGGTCATTATCTGATTTTGGCAAAAATGGTAAGCATTAACTAGACTTAACATAATTTAAAAAATAAATAAATAAATATATGTATGAATGATCTTGCCATATGAATATATATTTTGCCATCTTTCTCCAAACATTAAATGTATTATATTTATTGCTTTTTTTCCTCTTTTAATTTTTATACAGTAGTCATATCTGATTGTAAGGCTCCCAGAGTCATGTGACAGTGAGGTGGGTGGCAAACAAATTTGAATTAATTAATTTTAAAAATGGAAGGGCTCCTTAACAAAAAAAGTGTTTTCTTCTGGTTCAAAGCTTGGCATGGTGTGCGAACCCAATCATTCATAGACAATTCACGTTTAGGCAAGCCCTATCTTACCTGATGTGTGAATTCAATCACTTAATATCACAGCTAACCCATATACAGGAAGGCTGGTAAGAGATTGGGGCCCTTAAAGAGCATCAAATTATAAATTATTTTCTTTATCATTTTTACAGTGGGGATGATAAGGTTAGAATTTCAAACATCAAAACCTATTAAGACAGATTCATAAATTGCAGATATTTGAACTGATCCTAAAATGTTCTTGTCAGAAAATGAAGAGCTCACTTAATACAACCTCTCTTATTTAAAACAGGAAGAAATACGACATTTGAATATGAACTCCATGTACCAGATTCTTCTTCAAACTGAATGAGAGCCTCTCCTTGGTTCACTGTGAATGGGATTTTTGTAGCTAGGTGAAAACTGCAGGACATGTTTGTGCAGTCATCTTCATCCTTGGCCTCCTCTAGGTGCACAAACTTCATTTTTTTTTTAAGTAGGCATTGCTGAAGCTGAAATGTTAGTAATAATACAGGAGAGGATAGCTTTTAGGACAAAAGACTATTAAGTAAGCATATTCTTTATTTACTAGTTTCAGTGACACATAAGGTCATTAAGAAGCTTTCACCAGATAGTTTCCCCTCCCTCTCCCATTTGTCCAAAGGTATAATGGACAGAATTTTCATTGCATTGTCCACTCTTTGAGGGATTTGGGGAAGATTAACACAACAATCTTCTACAAAAAAATCAGCAGGAAATCAGGCAGTTTCTTGCCAAAGGGCTGAATAATTTCAACAGGAATTAGGAGCTACATGTTGTCTCTTAAGGTATCCAAACATTTTAAAGCTTTAAATCTGGGGTTCATCTGAGACTGAATAGTTGCACTACTACAATATATTAGTAAGAAAGTAAAAGCAATTACTATAATGAAGCAGCATGTCTATATCTATTTACTTGGGAAAAAGAACTCTAGAGTTCAGTGAGATTTCTATAAAGTTATTAGGTCATAGACTTATGGCACAAAAATTGTCTAATGGGATAAAATTGCTAAAGATACTAATTTTTTGTAAACCACAAATTCCCTGGGAGGGGAAAGGCATTATTTCTTAAATAAGGGATGAAGAATCCTTTTATGAAGGATGAAGTAAGTTTATGAAGCAAGTACAGTATTTTAGAACACCAAATTAAGCCCCACATGCACGCCAGCTGATTAATGCACAAGTTTACCGAAAAACTCCTTCTAAGTTCTTCACGTTTCACTTTCTTTGTTGCCAGATTCATCTTAAGGACTTCAATTTCCTTTTTCAGCTTATTATTTTGCTCATGTATTAAGAAAAGTTGCTCCTGTGGAATATGAAAAAAGACTTTAAGTGCTGAAGAATTGGTGTATGGATGTTTTAAATATATATGTCTGACGGACACTATACAGAAGCCTGATGATGGCAGATGAGATTCTGCTGAAACGTTGCTACAACTTTAAAAGAACTACAATGACGTGGGAAAATACCCGAACCAAGCCATTGTAGTTGTGCTTTTAAAGTTGTAGCAACGTTTCGGCAGAATCTCATCTGCCATCATCTGTGGGTCAGACTTTTACAGTGGGTTCAGATTTAAATTTGGGGCAGCCTATTGCTGTGCCAGAATGGTTTTTTCTTCATCCTGATTGGTTGGGAGTCTTGGTCTGTGTTTATTGGTCTCGGAGTTTGCTGTGTTCTGCTTGATGGGTGTCTGATATCTTCTGTCTGTTTTTTGGCTCTTTTTGTATCTTGATTGGCTGGCAGCATTGTGTTACTTTAATGGAGGCCTTTAGTGCAGCTTGGCTTCGGGTAAATGGACAGCTATCATTAGTTATATATATTATATATATATAATTTGTTTTCTTAAGTATATTAAATATGTATGTATGTATGTATTATATACTGTATATACTGTATATACTGTATATACTGTATATATACTGAACAAAGTGACTTATGACTGTTTTTCACACTTTGCAGCATCCCCATGGCCACGTGATTTACATTTGAATGCTTGACAGCTGGTTCATATTTATGACAGTTGCAGTGTCCCGGGGTCATGTAGTAATGTTTTACGACCTTCTGACAAGCAAAGTAAGTATTGTGGTTCACTGGCAGCAGGTGCGGATGGCTGAGGGCTTGGAGAGCGAGGACTCAGATGAGGGGCCTGCGTGTGATGCAGGGATGGGGCCAGGACCATCAGGGAGTGGAGTGCTGCCTTTGGAGATTGTGGAGGCTGGCAGCAGTGATGAAGAGGTCCCCGAGAAGCCTGTGCCCAGTGTGCGCGCGCACAGGGCTGCTCAAAGGAAAGAGCAGCTGCAGCAGCACAGGCGACTCAGGAGTAAGGCTACAAGGTAATGGCCCCTCCCTTAAGATATAAAAGCCAGCTGAGAAACCGGAGTTTTTGCAGGAAGCAAGGAAGTTTTTGCACTCAAGCCTTGTGGATGTTTGGAATATCTTGGTTGGTGTTTGGAGACTCTTTGTGTTTGAAATATTTTTTAGTAACTTTATCTAGTGTTCTTGGCAGCCTTGCACAACATTGGCAAGACTCGTTCTTATCAGAGACAATTAGTTTGAAATAGACTTTTAATCGTGCAGTGATTCACTTAACAAATGTGGCCAAGGGGTCAAAGGTAACTTAACAAACTTTTCACTTAGCAACATAAAATGGGACAAAGGTTACTTAACAAACTCCTCACTTAGCAACATAAATTCTGGGCTCAGTTGTGGTCATGAGTCAAGGACTACCTGTACTGTCTGTTTCTGAGTCTGAAGATTCCAAATTCTGGCATCAGTTAATATTCAGACTCGTTGTTTTGGTCTCAACTTTTAAGAAAATAAATCTGCAAAATATGAGCATGGTTATAATCCCTGAATTGGTGGCTTCTACTTTATTACAGACTGCAAGACACACATTTTCTACAAGGACTAAAAGTATTGGTTTCCTCAGCGAGATACAGTGACCAGGCATAAGAAGCAAAGTTTGCAAGATGTTTGTTAAATTTATACACCACCCAACTCCCAGAGATTCTAAGCAGTTCATAAAGTAAACAAACAGACAAAATACAATAATATAACAATAAAGATAGAGGAGCAAAAAGGTGGCAGCGGTGAAAACACGTACAGGCAGTCCTTGATTTACAACGGTTTGAAGTTACAATGGCACTGAGAAAAGGGACTTATGACCATTTTCACACTTACGACCACTGCAGCATCCTCATGGTCATATGATCAAAATTCAGGCATTTGACAGCTGACTCATATTTATGACGGTTGCAATGTCCCGGAGGACATGGGATCACCTTGTATGACCTTTGGACAAGCAAAATCAATGGGGAAGCCAAATTCACTTAACAACCGTATTGCTAACTTAACAACTACAGTGATTCACTTAAGAACTGTGGCAAGAAATGTCATGAAATGGGGCAAAACTCACTTAACAACTGTCTTCCTTACCAACATAATTTTTTTATTTATATAACATAAGTTATTTATTTATTTTGTCAAGCGATTATAAGATTACAGGTATAAGTATAGACATAGTTATGAGTACAGGAAATGGATACATATAAGAAAAATAAAAAGAAACAATAGGACAGGGATGGTAGGCACGTTGGTGCGCTTATGCACGCCCCCTGTGGTTGTAAGTCAAGAACTTGGGTGGGGGCGCTGGGCTAGACCAGGGGTCGCCAACCTTTTGGACCTCAGGGACCACCAAACTCATAATTTTAAATCCCGCAGACCACTAATATGAATTTTGACTGACGGTGGCTTGCTGACGGGAAAGTCGGTTCCATATTCCAGAGCTGCAGTAGTCACAGGACTGGCCTTTGGTCATCCCAAAGCTCCTCCAGTCCATGGCAGGCCAGTGCACCTGGGTGCAGGAGCACCTGCTCCGGGATGACTAAAGAGCCAGTCCTGTGACTACTGCAGCTCTGGAATATGGGACCGACTTTCCCACCAACTTCAGCAAGCCACCCTGGGGTGGAATTTCCTCCCCCACCATTGGTCTTACCTTCCAATTCCAGCTCGCGTGGCTCTACTCAAGGTAAGGTTTGCGCTCGGCCGAAGGATGGGGGCCAGCGAGTGGGCAGGCCATGTGGGCGGCGCAGCCTTGTGTTCCCAAGCAGCCTGGATTAATTGCTTTTGGGGGGACATTTCTCTGTGGACCACCAAAATTTTCTCACGGACCACCAGTGGTCCCCAGCCCACTGGACTAGATGACTTACAAGGTCCCTTCCAACTCTGATTATCTGTTATCTGACTTACATGCTACCAATTAGGGGCCTCCAGCCAAATGTTGGCAAATTTGACTCAATATCACTCTGTAAACATTCACACTTCCCAGCATCAAGGTTGAGTTCTATTCTTTAAACTGATGGAACGTAGATATATCCATTCTTTACCTGTTGGTTCTTCTGTATCTTCTTTCTTTCAGTTGCCTGCTTATTACTTTGAGCTAGTAGATCTGCCAGAGCCTTTTGCTTCATTTTTCTTTGCTCATCAAGGTCAAGTTTTGAAAGAAGGATTTCAGACTTTTGCTTTTCAATTTTTTCCAGCTTTTCCTGGGCAAATTAAGAATCCATTAATGCAGTTGCAGGATTGCCAATCAAATAGGACTAGCAGAAAAGCACAGCCTCTCTAGTTGTTATAGTATGTATAGATAGCTTCACTATCATTGGAAAACCTCAAGAGTTTGTAAAAATTTACCTTCCATTTTTCTAGTTCTTCCAGTAGTTCAGTCTCACTTATAAATATTTTTGAAAGTTTATCTTCTGCCATAGTCTGCAAAACAAAAATGGAAGTTTCTTTCCATTTTGCATCAAAAGCTGTTTTTTACATTTCCCAGAGTTTCATTTTTTCCCATCAGATATGAAACTGAAATAAATCGTGAATTATTGGAATAATTTCTAAAAATTTTGCCAACCACCATTCAAAATGGTTTCATTAACCAATATTTTATTGGAACATTTCACCTAAGCAAATACTAGATACAATACTAGACAACATTGTATCAACAGTAGAGACCTTCAAATTTCTAGATTCTACTATATCACATGACCTAAAATGGACACCTAACATCAAAAACATCATCAAAAAAGCACAACAAAGAATTTTCTTTCTGCGCCAACTCAGAAAGCTCAAACTGCCCAAGGAGCTGCTGATACAGTTCTACAGAGGAAGTATTGAGTCAGTCATCTGCACCCTTATAACTGTCTGGTTTGGTTCTGCAACCCAACAGGACAGACACAGGGTAAGTAGGACTGCAGAAAAAACAATTACTACCAACCTGCCTTCCATTAAGGACCTGTATACTGCACAAGTCAAAAAGAGGGCTGTGAAAATATTTACAGACCCCTCACATCCCGGACATAAACTGTTTCAACTCCTTCCCTCAAAACGACGCTATAGAGCACTGCACACCAGAACAACTGGACACAAGAACAGTTTTTCCCCGAAAGCCATCACTCTGCTAAACAAATAATTCCCTCAACCCTGTTCAACTATTACAAAGTCTGCACTAATGTTAATCTTGTCATTACTCCTTATCACCCATCCCCTCCCACTTGTGACTGTATAACTGTAACTTTGTCGCTTGTATCCTTACGATTTATATTGTCTGTCTCCTAGTATATTTGATTGCTTATTGTACCCTATGACTATCATTAAGTATTGTACCTGATGATTCTTGACTCTTGACAAATGTATCTTTTTTTAATTTGCACCAGCATTTGCACCAAGGCAAATTTCTTGTGTGTCCAATCACAATTGGCCAATAATCTACGGTATCTATCACACTTGGCCAATAATCTACGGTATCTATCTAAATGAGTGTTTTAAAATACAGGTACAGCATATGAGAACTAGAAGTAAAACAGGACTAATTCAGTAACAGGATAATAGCTCTGTCTATGTAGATTCCTTATATTCATTCTTTCATGAGCAAGCTTATTTTATTAAGTAGATTGGAAGACAGCATTTTTTTAAAAAAGCAACCGGGCTTTTTCCATATTTCCAAAGCTCTGGTAAACAAAAACAAAAAAAAACCCCAAAAAATCCAGAAATGTCAGATAAAGTTGTGGTTATAATGTTGTTACTTTCTATTGTGCTAAAGAGAGTTGGAAGTCGGTGCCTTTTTCTTTTTTTCTCTCCCTTTACACTATATCCCTTTCCCCGCCACCGTCCCTCTCTTCTTACTTTTTCATGTTTTTTTTCCTTTGTATTTTATACTTTGATAAACTAATTAAAAAGTTAAATGGGAAAAACATGAAATGTCAGATGAAGCCCTACGGTAATACTAACCGAGCCGACGCTGTTTTGTTTTCGAAATCAAGCGAAGTTGTATTGAATGTTGGGGCAAAGTTCAAACTCCGGAGGAAGTTAGCAGGGGGATGGAACTTCCAATAAGTTCCATCGGTTACTCAGACTATACGCAGAGCTAACTAATCCTATTTCTAATTTAGGCTAGTTCAGTTACGTGCGTGCCAACCGGGCCGAACTAAAGCGCATAGTACGATCTTAGATCTCCAATGATCCTGGTTTTGACCGGATCGTTCGCTTTCTATAGTAAAAAAAAATAAAAAATCGCTCACCGCTGTCCTCCACGGAGAAAGTTTACTTTCGCTTTCGAACTCTGCCAGCAGATTCTGTTTGCAATAGATTTGCACGCAGGCGTTTCCCCTACTCCACTCGGCCCGCTTTTCACAGCGGGATTGACGTGCAAGAGTCTTTCCGACGGCGGGACAAGCCAAAGAGACTGCAAGATACCCGAAGAAGCTTTCTCGCTAAAAATACATAAATAAATAAAAAGGCCCGTTTCCCCAGCAGCAAGAAACGAAAGGTCGGAACCTTGTTTGACTACAGATCACGTGGAAGGAAGGAAAGAAAGCGGGCGGGAAGGTGCGGCTATCGCCTGCAGCTGGGAAGTCATCTCCCCTTGAGGCCAAAGAGGGAAGTCCATCCGCCCTCTGCCCATGACAAGAGAGCAGCTTGAGAGCGGCGGGGTTTCTCACGTTTGCCAAGCGTTGACACACGGCGGCGCCTTTCGCGCCTCCCGAAACTGAAATAGGATTAGTTAGCTCTGCGTATAGTCTGTGTGGAACTTATTGGAAGAGAGGCGAAACGTTGTTTTTTTCCCTCAGGAAAAAAAACAACAGACCACTTTTGAAGGAAAAAGCACCTTTGAAACAATTATAACCTGGATGACTGAGAATGTCCACAGACAATCACTCTGTGCCTCATTGCGCTGTCTGAATCTGACCCAGATTGTTGAGGGCAATATACTGACTCTGTAAACCGCTTAGAGGGGGCTGTATGTAAAGCACTGTGAAGTGGTATATAAGTCTAAGTGCTATTTCAATAACGCGCTGCCATTAGTCAGTAGGCAAGCCAAGAAAAGATCACAGAGCTTTCTAATTCTCACCCTTTTCCTAGCAGACAGTACTGAATAAGCTTCCCAATTTGATGCAGAGTGGAATTCGTCTTCCAAAATTGCCAGCAAGATGATGCTAGGCAGAGTCCGGAAAGCTGCCTCAGAAATAGACTTGATTCCCAGGACATCTCAAAACTGGTTCCCCTATGTCTTCTCTTAAAAAAAAAAAAAAAAGTAAGATTGTACAGTACAGGTATGGTTCACAAACTTTGCAGTACCTCAGCCTTCTAAAACTCACTTTTTTGTGCGCAACATTTCCCCCCCTCCATAAGAAGATTTCATTGGTGTTAGAGTTTGGCAAGAAATAAATAAAACACTTGTAATAATTAAATTTTAACACCTATGTCACCAGGATTTAAACTTACCTTGGAGGAAATACCTAGGTGGTTACTAAGAGTCATCGCTGACTTGATGGCTTAAATCAAAGACAGCAACTCAAGAAATTAAGGAGCAAAAATAAGGAGCAAAAAGTTTTGATTGCTCCTACTTTAGGCTGCACAAGCTTCATCAGGTTAAAAATTGTAGACCAACACCCAACTCAGTTGCATGTAATCTCTTTGTCCACCAATTGAAAATCAGGGATGCAGTAAGAGAGGCCTATGAGATTAATAATGAGAAGACAATATAGAGCAACTGCCTTGCTTGTACATTGTATTAAGCTGTACACGGGGGTGGGATTCAATCTTTTAACAACCGGTTCTGTGGGCATGGCTTAGTTGGTAGGTGTGGCTTGGTGGTCATGTGACTGGGTGGACGTGGCTTTGAGGTCATGTTATTGGCTGGGCGTGGCCAACTCAATATCACTCACATCGAGGCACGCATCTCATGACTGTGGGGATGCTGCAACAGTTGTAAGTGTGAAAAATGGTCATAAGTCACTTTTTTCAGTGCCATTGTAACTTTGAATGGTCACTCCACACAAGCAAAGTACCAGCAAAAGAGTGGGGGGGAAACTCCAGAGACGTTCCAGAGACAGGAAGTCTAGTCCTGCCAAGAATGTAATAAGGGTTAAAGGAGAGGCAGTTTCTGTAAGCAACACCAGAATGTTTCCTTCCTGCTTTCTTTACAGGATTAGGCCAGTAATTTCTTCTAACAACCGGTTCTCCAAACTGCTTAGAATGTTAACAAACTGGTTCTAGCGAATAGGTGCGAACTGGTAGAATCCCACCCCTGGCTGTACAGTGACCTCTATAACAGTGATTTATTAAAAATCATTGTTGGAGTCCCAGAACATGCAAAGCAGAGGTGGTATTTAGCAAGTTCTGACCAGTTCTGGAGAACCGGTAGTAGAAATTTTGAGTAGTTCAGAGAACCAGAAAATACCACCTCTGACTGGAGATTTTACAGTATCCTTCCTTACCATGCCCACCAAGCCATGCCCACAAAACCGGTAGTAAAAATGTTTGAATCCCACCACTGATTCAAAGATATAACTGTTGCTTACAAACTTACACAGTGATTGACTTCATATGATATGTTAAGCCAGCTATAATGCCATACTTAAATTTAGTATGGATGAACCCAGCCACAGTACCATATAAACTGTTACACTAAATGCTATGAGCTCACATATTTGAGGGACTCATAGTTGCCTTCCTTTGGTATCTCAAGTGTATCTTAGATGCTCTATATGACTATGAATGCATTTCTTTTCCCCCAAGAAAGAAGGGGCAAGAAACCATATCAAATGAATCAGGCATTTGTCAACATGATATAGCTGCATCGAAGGTGATTTTATCTATGAATTTGGAAAGTGTTTGCTTCTTTATCCAGGTTGTCAACATCTAATAGGGACACTGTGCTTGTGCCTTTTTTAATCATCTTGTTTCTCATTTATTTTTCAGCAGGAATGTCACTGTCATTACACTGTAACAGTGCAGTCACATATTCAATACACAAGTGGCTCATCTTTAGTAATGGAAGATCATTATCATTCATTCATTCATTTATGTATGTATGTATGTATTATAGGTCAGGGGTGGGATACAACAGGGTTAACTACCGGTTTGGGATTTACAAGCTTCCCTGTGAGCCACGCACCTGTTAATCGTCATTAGCACGCTGCGTGCGGAGAAGCAGCCTTTGAAACAGCCCTCTTTTCTTGTTTTTTAAACTGCAGCTGTGCCTCGTTCGGCAGCTGAAGTTGAAAAATCAGGAAATAAAGGTCAGGTAAGAGCCCGGATGGGTGGGAGGGCAAAATCATCAGCAGACATAGAACCAGTTCTATGTCTGCTGCTCTTCAGAGCTACCGGTTCTACAGAGGTGGACAGAACCGGTAGAAACCCAGGTGTTGTAGGTGCTACAGGCAAAACATAGAAGTCATGTGGCCTTACAGATCAGGGGTCTCCAACCTTGGCAACTTTAAGACTTGTGGACTTCAACTCCCAGGATTCCTTAGCCAGCTGGCTGAGGAATTCTGGGAGTTGGAGTCCACAAGTCTTAAAGTTGCCAAGGTTGGAGACTTCTATTCTAGATTAGTGATTCTCAGTGTGAAACATATGGTGCCTCCCCACCAGGGAACCATACCATATTTCTAGGGGGTCAGGCAACCTTAACTTCTAGCTATTATGGACAGTTTGTTATAACCACATCTTATTCACTATGCTAATTTCTTGTCTGCATAAACAATCATTTTTGTTAGCTACTACTAATAGTTTGGTACAGTTTATATTAATAAGCACTGCATATGGTAAGTTACCTGGTTCCAGCTAATGGCAACTATGGGGAGGGGCCACAGAGGTAATTGAAGTTCAGAAGGAAACCCTGGAGCTGCCTTTGAATTCCACTTTCCTATAGTATCTACCTGTCCAGTTGAAGCTGGCACTGTTGGTAAAGTCTGGGTTATTTTGATTAAACGATTAAACGAATCAGCCATCAATAGACACATAGGCATTAACAACATCTATAGACTGTGCAAAAGAGACAATCAACCAGCCCCAAAGAGAAAAAAACTCCAGCACCTATCCACTAGGAATCAGCACCCTGATCAGCATAGATTAACTCCAAGGTTAATTTCAGACCAACAATTAACTAAGCAATACTGCGATCAAGAAACTGCCAAAGAGCCATCAGTAAATAGCCTCAACCAAAGAATCCCTACCCACACAGACAGGCAAGACACTAGAATATAAACTGACAGCAAACCCACACACTTTACTAGAACTGAGGAGGTTAGTTAGCGTAATGTAATATCTGCAAGAAAACAAGCAAGCTCAGAGAGCACTAAAGACTTTCCTCATTTCAATCTACGGATATTCTCCTTTATCGATAAATGATGTCTTCTGTCAGGAGCCCAGAATTGTGCATACCTGCCCTCTGAAATTAGGGGGGACACACACACGCACCAAGATTCATATTGTCCCCACTCTCACTATTGTTTTGAAGATCAGGTTCTTCACCTAGTCCTTTTGGGTAATGTGACTGAAACCCTCTTTTGATTGTGAGAGTTGTTTTTTTTTTTTTCTTCCTAGTAGTTTTGTCACTTTTGCTCTCTTTTACTTTTTATGTTTTGTTTTATTATTTCATTTTTAATGTTTTAAACAATCTAGACAGCAATTGTCTAGAGTCACTGGAAGTTAAGTACATGTTAAATGTGAGGTCCTTGGTGCTCTCTGAGCTTGCTTGCTTGTTTTCTTGCAGACGTTTCACTATCCGAACTAGATAACATCATCAGTGCTAGTAAGAAGTGTGGGTTGCTGTCAGTTTATATTCTCGTGGCTTGCCAGTGTTGGTGGGGGTGGTTAGGGATTCTTTGGTTCGGTTGTTTGCTGTTCGCTTCTTTGGCAGATTCTTGATTGGGATATTGTTTCCTTGATTGTTGGTCTGATGTTAACCTTAGAGTTAATCTATGCTGATATTACATGTACAATGTAATTAATTATTATAAATATTAGAAAAAGTTGACAACTCCTATTCTAAATCATAGTAGAACAAGAAAATATTCCCTATTCTCTAGTTCTTTATCTGAAGCACATTCTTAAGTCACACTAAGCATAGCATGTTTTATTGGGTTTTTGTTCTAGTATTTGCCCTTTGTGGCTTCTAAATCTTATTTTATGACAGCACAGTGTGTGAGTCAAAATTAGCTAGTTGCTCTCTTTTCAGTATATTGCTGTTTCTTTTTCAGCATATAAAAACTGCAATAAAACTACGAATTAAAAAAAGATATACTGTACTTCTTTGCATAATTTGGATTTACCTTTCAAAAGGATCAGGCACAGATCCATGTTCCATAAAACATTTCCCACAGTGATATTAATAATGCTAATGTATATTGTCCCTTAACTGATCCAGCGTGTAATGTTTCACCAAAATACTAAATACGTTAGACAGATACATTGCCATTATTAACATGTGATAGAATTTAGGAACAAAGACAACAGCATTCTTCTGTCAAGAATTTATGAATGGATAGTTATGGGAGGAACTCAAACTAG